TGTGTGTGTGTGTGTGTGTGTGTGTGTGTGTGTGTGTGTGATAATATGAAGGGACAATTGTCTTATCTATCTCATTAAATCTTTGTGGTACTCTATGCATATCAGCCACATACACATTTTCGGTGCCTGAAGACATCCGTGTGGGCAGCCCCTTGGGCTTTCTGTCAGTTGAGGACCCAGATGAACCTCAGAACCGAATGACCAAGTACAGCATCATACAGGGCGAGTACAGGGACACTTTCACCATTGAGACAGACCCCAACCGCAATGAAGGTATCATCAAGCCCACGAAGGTATGTAGACTTGTAGTTCTGAATCCAATCATGGGCTGTGGAGTTTGGCATCCAAAGGACACTCAGGGATTGCTTCTGAGCCACAGTCCATTGAAGGAGAATATTCTTGTACAGCTTGGAGCCAGCCATATGCTCACGGAGACTCTAATCCAATGTCTCAGGCTGAGTTCCAGAAATAAGCCAGGGGCAAGGCTTTGGGAATGAAATGTTTATTTGGGAAATAATCCCTGGAAGCCTCAGGAGCAATGACTAGTGGCAAGAAGATAGATCCTCTTGAGATCAATGATGAGCAGGTTACAAGTGGGGCCCAGTCCCATGGGAGCAACATAGAGCACACCTCAGAGCTTCAGCAGGAAGGTCAGGTGCTGGGGTAAGCAGCCACAAACCTTGCAGTGCAGACAGAGAGCACTTGTTCTAGTATCATTTCTGTTGTTATGATAAAATAACCTTGACCAAAAACAACTTTGGAAAGGGTGTATTTGGCTTACAATTCGAAATTGAGTCCATTGTTAAAGGAGAGTCACAGTGGTAAGAGCTGGTCACATCACCTCAACAGTCAAAAGCAGAAAGAAATGAATGCACTCATACTTCATGTCTGTGGCTTCAGCTGTTTGCTAGCTTTCTCCTTGAACACAATTCAAGACAAGGCCTAGGGAGAGGTACTGCCCATAAAGGGCTGGGTCTTCTACACTAATTAACAGTGGAGAAACCCCCACCTCCCAGACAAGCCCACAGGCAATCTAATCTAGGCAATTCCTCAGTTGAGGTTCCCTTCTCAGGTTATTTGGAAAATATTATTCCAGGTAAAATGGAAACTTGGCATTTGATACTTACCAGCACATTTCCCCCCAACATTAGAAATATATATATATATATATGTATATATATATATATATACATATATATATCAGAGGGTAAAAATGGCAGCAAGCAAAGACAGACTGACTGAATCCAGAAGAGGAGGGAGAGGAGCTTTCATGTTTTTGGAATGTTCGGGTAGAGGACTGGGAACACATGCCCAGCCACCAGACTCCACAAAGCTCTCAGACTGTGGGGAAGATAGACATACAAACAACCAAAACATGTAGCTGGTTATGTTCAGGGCTGTGCAACAATGCCCGACAGGAAGCTGGTGCTTGTATTCAGAGCAGCTTCTGAGAGGGCTGTGTCATACTACCTGCCTTCCCAGCCAACTCCTATTCATTCCTCAAGACAAATAGGAAGACATTTGCTAGGCAGACAAAGGAGAAGCCTCTTAAGCAAAACCACAAAAGGTATTCCTTTCAATGGAACCGCTAGGCTATGATCCCTTTGAGAGGGGACTGGGGATGTGTGTGTCCTTAATGCTTAGAACAGGGTGGGGTACAGAGGTGGGGTCAGGAAAATGAAACAGGCTAAAGACAGTCTCCATACTTGCCACCCATGCAGCCCCTGGACTATGAACTCATCCAGCAGTACACATTCCACATTGAGGCCACGGACCCCACTGTCCGACTCGGATACCTGAGCAGCACTGCAGGCAAAAACAAAGCCAAGATCACCATCAACGTCATGGATGTCGATGAGCCCCCTGTCTTCCAGCGACGCTTCTATCACTTCCAGATACCAGAAAACCAGAAGAAACCTCTGATAGGCACTGTGGCGGCCAGAGACCCTGACAAGGCTCAGCGCAGCATAGGGTAAAGCAGTGGTGGGCACGAAGTGACACTGGTATGATGACCCTGGCACAGACATTCTCGTGTCTAGTGGTCTGAGACCAAGGCTCAGAGAACTCTGGCTTTTCCCCCACACCTTCATGGAAAAAATGCAGAGGCTGTTCTACCAGCTCTTATTATGCCCATCTTGTCTGGTCCAGGCCATCCTCTGTTCTTTGAAGGACTTTAGACCATGACTCATATAGGTCCCACCTAATGAGGCCTGAGAGTCAAGAGAGCAATCATCAATTAGCAATGGCATATCTGAAGCCCTGTCACCAAAAATTGTTAAGAAATTTGTCTCCCAAAACACAAAGCCAGGAGTGTTGCTTTCACTTGGTGAAACTACCCAAGTCTCTAAAGAAATCTGTGGTAGCTCCTGTTCCTACTGAGTTCATGGTTGGGCTCCGAGTATACGTTCCTTCATGACTGCACAAACTCACTGATGCTGAATTTGTTGTTATTATTTGTATGTTTGCTGTCATTTGCTATTGAGCATGTCCTGTACATTTCATCAATACTTGTTCCTCATTCATTTTCCATGTCTATAACTTCATTCCACGTGCTGGACAATTTATGAACATCAGAGATCTGTTTATCTTAAGGATCTAAAGGCTTAGAAATCCAACAGCATGGTTCCAGCACCTGATTGCCATTTAATGAGGTCTTTCTTGCTGCAAGTTGGTGAGACATAATGAGTTTTCCAGAGAATGTCTTTCTTTACCTTCTTATAAAGCCACCAACCTACCATGAGAGCCCTACCCTCACGAATAATCTAATCATTATTACCTCCAAAAGCTGTATCTCCAAATTCCACAAATACATGAATTGGTGGATACAGTTTCTAACATGAACTTTGGAGGGCATGGAATGACACATCCAAACCAATGACCTTGCTCATCTGCCCTTACTAGAAGTCCCTCCTCTAGCCTCTAGGACAAAAGGAAGGTATAGATCTGCTCAGACTTGGAGTCACATAATATTTGGTAGCAAACAGTAATTCAATCCAACCTTGTTTTATCTCACACATGTCAGCCCTGATGACTAAATATCATTACTTTCCCACTGCTTTTTACATATTTAAGTTCTCACATAGACTTGACTCTTCCTCAGAATTCCCCACTCTACCTATTCTGTGGCATTCTGCTTTAACATAACAGCTTTCTGATGAACTTTAATCTGTCTAACATAAGCCCTCCAGTCTCTGTTTTTGTTTTTTTTAATCCAATCTTAAATGACCATTCTTACAAGGCTGGCCTTGAATTGCAGTAATCCTCCTATCTCTGCCTCTTGAGTCCTGGAGTTACAGGGTACAATTTCACTAACCCTGGCATCACATACATTTTAATATATAATCTTAAAATATTTATGTCCTAATGAGATTTTTTATTTCATTACACTTCACTTATTCTGTGTGTTAGGGGTGATGCACACCACAGCACAAATGTGGAGGCCAGAGATAACTTAGAGGAGTCAGTTCAGCTTTCTCCTTGTACCATGTGGGAACCAGAGATTACAGCTCAGGCCATCAGGCTTGATCATGGGTACCTTTGCCCACTGAGCCATTTTAATGGCCCAAGAATTAATTTTATATATCATCTTTGGAAATCTGCTTTTTTTTTTCAATACTGGGGTTGAACTAGGGCTTCACAAGACCTCTACTTACTGAGCCATACCCCAGGACACTTTCACTTTTTCTTTCTTTTTCATTTTCAGATTGGGTCCCACTAAGTTGCCCCATCTAGCTATGAACTCACTCTAGAGCCCAGGTGGATCTTGAAATCTTGCCTCAGCTTCCTGGCATTGTAGGCCTGCCTCACCAGGTCTAGCTGTATTAATTTTCTTGTTAAGAACAAAGCAAGCCTCCCTGGATTTGGTACATCTCATGCATCTGGGGACCACTATTTCACTGTCATTCTGTTCAACATGGTTTATAATTACATTTTTTGGCTGTTTCTTTGATTGAAGACTTTTAGAGCTTGACTTGGTATTGTTTTATTTTGTTTTTCTTTTACTAGTGGTGGTGTAATTGAAGGGTAGTGGTATAATATGTTCTGTAATATAATACAGTTGTGTTGTGCCCATTTTTTGTTATAAGTATTTTAATTTTTTCTGTCCAGTTAACTAAGATTTACCACTATTTTACCTTCATTATGTCCTATAACTTCTTTTTCTAGTGCAAGGGACAGGAGCCAGAGTCTGTGCATGCTAAGCCAGTGTTCCATGGCTGAGCTCAGGACCTGTAATTTTGCCACCCTGTGAAATTAGCCAGTCTGTTCTGCTAACTCTTTTGACCCTCCATGGCATGCCATATAATGTTAAGTTTGCTTTTCTGTTTACAAGTTTTTTCTGTTTGATAAATTCTCCAACTTTCACTTCTGACTTTTCTAGATTTTTTTACATTAGAGCTGTGTCTTGAAAGGCGCCTGCAGTGAGCCTGGCTTTGTGATCTCAGCAGAGATGCTTTGCCTTCATCCTGCTTTGTGTTTCCATCATCCATGCTGCGTCTGATCTTACCTTTCCTGTTGCTCATCTTTTATTTCCTGTTTCTCAAGTGGAATAGATTTCCTCCTGCTCCTAATCTTTGCTATTGACCTTCTTTTTTTCTGATAGATATTTGACTGGAGATTTACTTCTGATTTATGATTTACAAAATCATAAATGTTTTCTAGCTAAATGCATCACTCACACATGCACTAATAACTTCATTTCAATTCCTTCCAAACTAGGTTCCTACTTTCGATTGAGAAATCTCTTAAAGTTTTCAAAACAACTTTTTTTCTTTGCAGGAGCAGGACCCTTCTTACAATGTATTTATGAAGTGTGTCTGTGTGTAAAATCACTTTACCTTCCTATGTTAATGGCACTCGTATATACTTGTGTAATTTTCAGATCACAGACACTTCTCTTCAAAGGTCCCACCGATGTGCTCTAGCGTTCACTTTTGTAGGAACATCTAGAGGACATCTGATTTCCCTTTTTTTAAGGAATTTATTTTTTTGTTCCTAGGACTCTGAACTCTTCAGTCTCCTTACATACCTAAGACACTCAAAAGACTATTAGCACATGCCTAACTATTGCTACATTTTTTTAGTTATGCCCAAATATTGATCACATTGCCATAGACTTAAGCCTTCTTCTTATCACAAAAATGTTATTTTATTTTGTATTACTTCTTCTGTTTTATTTGTTATGGTTTCTCAGTAGTAGCAACTATCTTCACACACACACACACACACACCTCTTCATAATCATTTTCCTGGTTTATTGAAAACTCAGATTTTCACTTCATTGTGTTTTCAGCTGGTTTTTATTTCTCCCAGCTCTTGCCAGCTCTTGTTTTTGTTTGTTTGTTTCTTCCTGGCCTTTGCTCACCCATTTTTACACACACACACACACACACACACACACACACACACACACACACACCAGATGTGGTGCAATTTAGAGTCACCCACTTAGTTTGATTTGCGGCTGGGTAGGGTCTCAGGTACCCCCATCCAATTATAAAATAGCCACACCATTCAGGTCAAGCATTGTCCTGTTCATGTATGCATGTGTAGGCCCACTCTCTCTGGGTGGAAGTACAGTGCACATTGGGAACGGGTATGGGGAAGGACACAAGGGAAGAGTCCTGAGGTCCTTTCTCTGTCATGCTGAGGACTTTGGAATCAGCAGAGAACAAGGAAATCCATGACCTCTTTCTCCTGGACAGATACTCCATCCGTAAGACCAGTGACAGAGGGCAATTCTTCCGAATAACCAAACAGGGGGGCATCTATAATGAGAAAGAACTGGACAGAGAAATCCATGCCTGGTACAACCTGACTGTGGAAGCCAATGAACTGGATTCTAGAGGTAAGTCCTTTCATCTTCCAGGTCATCTGGGTTATTCTTTTCCCTCACCCTTTCCAAACTGACACGATTCATCATTTTGAACCTCTAAAGGCATTACAAGTTCCCAGGGAAGTATTCTCTGGCTGGGGTATGTTGAATTTCCATTTCTGAAAGTGCTCCTTGGACCAACATCATATAGAGCACCCACAACTTTTTTGGGAGTACAGAATAATAGGGTACCACTCTAGACTGAATGAGAACTTCACATACATCTTAGCTTAAGAAGCACTGTGATAAAAGCAGGCTGTTCAGGTGTCTATTTGAGAGACTCACCGAAGGCACATGCTACATAGTTTATAAGGGTTTGGTCCATTGAACAGTGATAGGGCAAAGGCTGTGCCTGGACCAAATGATGCATGATTCTTGGTGTTAAACACACTTAGCCAACACTCCTTTGTGTGTGGAAAGTTATATCTGCATCAGTTAAAGAGCCGGTTTCAAAATAAGCAGCTCTCAACTAGAGATTTTAAGGTTCTGCAACAATTTGTGTAAATTCTGACAGATGCCAGGGGAGTTGTGACAATCACCCAGAAAAGAAGCATTCACTTTCCCTCTGCACCCAGGTCCTATGGGGGTTTCTGAGAGGGGCCAATGTTATTTAAATGAGTATGTGATTATTTGTACAGTTGTATTATTTTAATCAATTGTATTGGCTTGACTTACTAATTTAATTGCAACCTCTTAAAATACACTAGGGGTGTTTAGCTCTTGAATTCTTATAAGCAAACTTGTTCACATATGAAGGTCTAGCCCCTTGTCCTCCTCTACCCTCCTTCCTTCCATGACACAACCCTTGATCTTTCCTTCTACAAAAAAGTGGCCTCCACCACAGTGCCCCAGGACTATCCATCCAAGCATCTTCCAGCTCCAGAGGCCAGCATGAGCTGGGCCCACAGTGGTGACAAGCGGTTTCTCCTGCAGGTAACCCTGTAGGCAAAGAATCTATTGTGCAGGTTCATATCGAAGTTTTGGATGAGAATGACAGCCCCCCAGAATTTGCCCAGCCCTATGAACCTAAAGTGTGTGAGAATGCTGCCAAGGGCAAGGTGAGTTGGCCTCAAGTGAGGGAGGTAGGGGAGGGCAGTGTGTTTTCAGGCAGCGGGCTGGAGAGCAAACCTTCCTGCCCTCAGAGAGTTGCTTAAGTTTAAAGGAACTACTTAACAGCCTGAATAAAATGCTATTCACATTTACAGGTGGAGAAATGAAACCCCTGGAAGTGTCCTGAGAATAGGTCAGGGATAATTGGGTGCAGGATGGTAGTAGACAAAGTGGCTTTAGGAAGACCATTCAAGACAACAGTGCTGCAGGTGACAGGCAACCATGGTCATGTCTAAATCCATCCTTGAACCCCAGGATACCACCCCCAAACCACACTGATGATTTCTCGTCTCTCACATTCCAGCTGGTTGTACAGATTTCTGCAACAGACAAGGATGTAACACCACCAAACCCAAAGTTCAAGTTTGCCCTGAAGACTGAGGACAGCAACTTCACCCTCATAAATAACCACGGTGAGCAATAGAGCAGTTGGTTGGCTCGTAGAAGGTCAGAGGTGTCAGTTAAGAGTCTCAAAGCTCTAGGATCAAGGACTAGACCAACATGGGGTTACAGGTCTCCACAGAGTCTTTCATGTTATGGGTTATTTTGTACAACTCTGTCTGTGCTGTGGTCAAAGCCACCAGGCCAGGCTTCATGGTCCAGAGGACATAAGCTGTAGGGTTCATGTTACCCTGAAGAGGCTTCTCTGAAAAGGAACACAAAATGGACACAGGGATGCAGGCAACCAGATCAGTCCAAGCCATTCAAAGGCCCCTTCTAATACTGGAATCTCACTCTCAGCAAAAGTACAAATTTCCATATCATTCTAAAAAGCCCAAACTGGAAACAGGAAGTCATGAATCCCAACAATGCAATGAGTTTTGTTGCAGTTCAGGCAGAACAGCGTCTACCATAAAGCAGTCCCTGAACAGGATCTAGTTCACAAATCACAGCATATCATAGCACATCTGTTCAGCCAATCAAAGCCCAGAGAGTCTTGTGAGGTTAGCAGTCAGAGCCCAGTCAGAGCTCTGGTGAAGATGCATGTATTAGGGTGATGAGCATGGGCTACTTTAATTCCATCCGAAAGTGGCCAGGCTTTCATGACTTCTGTAACTGCCTAAGAAAAATAGACACCCTTAGGTATGAATATAACAACTATCCACTCAAACATGGAGGAAATCTCCCTGTCCTTGCTTAATGACACTGTGAGGGCCCCTTACTGAAACAGTCCCTTGTCACTTTGGGGGGAGACTAGGGAAGAGGGTCTCTGAGAGTGAGGGGCATGTTCAAGGGATGAGTCACAGACCCATGAAGCAAGATGAATACCATGGCCTACAAATAAGGAAGTAAGTCTTGCTATGCTGACAGTTAGTGATACAATTCAACACTCAGAAAATAACATTGTAAAAATACCTGTCACCCCATTCCCAGTGTATACCTCAAATAAACTAAGTAGAATTGGGGTCTACAACAGAATGGAAAATTTAGCAGCCACCCTAAACACACATCCTACATGCAGCAGGAGGCAAGTCTGTTGGTCTCAGAGTCATTTGCATACAAATGTCCTGCATATCAGTGTCTCTCATTTCAATCCCATCATGTGTCAGTGCCCTGTCATTTGTTCTCCACTATAATAGCCTTAAAACTGAAATGTAATTATGAATAATGAGATGAAATTGGCTTTCATTTTAAATTCTTGGCTTTTGGCTGGTTTTGTATGTGCCCATCCTGTGTGGCTAAGTCAGTCCTCTGACCATTGGTGTTACAACCTCCCAGAAACCTACAAAAGGCAGACCATCTGTCCTTTGCCTACAGCAGCAGCTGTGTGTGTGTGTGTGTGTGTGTGTGTGTGTGTGTGTGTGTGAGGAGGGGGTCTGAAAATCAGGATGTTCAAAAAGCTCCCCAAAGGGTGTTCCCATGCAGCAAACCAATGATTGGCTCTGGGGATGGGGCCTATTGGCACAGAAGCTGGTTCTCAGTTGCAGAATTCCCAGGGACACCCTCTCACAATGGCAAATGTCAGTGCCCCTGGGAACCCAGGCTTGTGTTTACAGTTATAAACCTCCTGTGCAATGGTTCAGAGGTAGCACAAAGATGTTAACCCTGTGCTCAAAGCAAAAGCATTCTTTTCCCAATTCTGTGTGGAAGCTTGAAACAATACACTGATGAACTGAGCACAAGAGAAGAGGCCCTGTAATCGGAATGGGATTGGAGAAGGGGACAGGTGTACCCTTTGGCCACAGAAACAGACAGTACAGGTGGGGTTTTGTATTATGACTAAGCCACTCTTCTAGGCTGGGTCAAAGCAGCTGCTCAAACTACATCCTTTGCAAAGGGACAGTCCTATGCTCAAGGAGCAGAAACATGAGGCAGGGAGCAAAGAGGGCAGTAAAATCACCCAGGAAGAGGCAGTTTCCCCCCATGGTGCAAGAGGGCTGATGCTCCTGTCAGAGCCTTACTTTGTGGTCTTGATGTTTCCAGACAATACCGCCAACATCACAGTTAAGTATGGGCAGTTTGACCGGGAGCAGGCCAAGTTCCACTACCTACCCGTACTCATCTCAGACAACGGAGTGCCTAGCCTGACTGGAACTGGCACACTAACAGTGGCTGTGTGCAAATGCAATGAACAAGGAGAGTTCACCTTCTGTGAGGAGATAGCTGCCCAGGCAGGTGTCAGCATCCAGGCGCTGGTAGCCATCTTTCTTTGCATCCTCACCATCACAGGTCAGTGTCTCATGGGACAGGGAGGAGATGCTCAGTTCTGCACCACCCTGGACCTCACGGTTCCTTGTATAGGATACGGAGATACAGATGTAGCACCCCACCAACCCAGTGCTTAAGGGAGTAGGAAAAAGGAGAAATGAGACACAAGACCATTCTTCAAGTTAACTCCATTTCAAAATAACCTAGGGCCAGGGGTATAGCTCAGTGGTAGAGCATGTGTCAAGTACCAGGTTCAATCTCCACCATTTCAAAAAAGAAAGAAAGAAAGAAAGAAAGAAAGAAAGAAAGAAAGAAAGAAAGAATACACTTGACATTCATCCATATGTTTTGCTACATATGTTTTGAGTGCATACTATATTCCAGGTGTTGTTTGGGTCATTGATTTACATTAAAACTAATATTGATTTATTTTATTCATTTATTTTGAGACAAGGTCTCACTGTATAGTTCTAGCTGGCCTGGAATTCACTTGCATTTGCCTCCTGAGTGCTGGGATTAAAGGTGTGCACCACCACACTCCTGGCTTTAATTGTTTCTAAAATTCCTTTATAATGGAAACTTTAAGACATCTACCTTGGAATTTCACCAGGGATTTCTTTGCTTTTATAGGCTTCCTCTAGCTTTAGGTGTTTTGCTTTTGTTTTTCCTTTGTTTTTGAGCCTTGTCACTTTCAGAGCACTTTAGACTTCTAGATTTTGCATTCCCAGGAAACAGACCTCAGACAAGGATTTGGGAAGAGCAAGCTGCCAGGACTGGCATTTTACCTTGTTAGCCGGCCTCATTCCCCTGGGGCACTAGGAAGTTTCCCCTTAGCATTAGCACCCAGCAGCACCAGCCTGTTCAGTTGAGGGGTGAAGGCTCCTTCCAGAAAGTACTTTGTCTATGCTGCACCAGCCCATGTACTACACTGACAAGCTAGGATGCCGTGAGGTACAGACAGCAAGAGCTCCAGGCCTCCAAGCTTCCCACAATGTGTATCCATTTCCTGGAACTTCCGTGCCAGACATTAGAGACAGACTTCTCTTTCATAATAATAATAGTGATAAAAGAATTGATGCCACCCACAGAATCCTGCCATCACCTTCCCCAAATAAATACTAGTGTTATACTGCATCCACTTTGTAGACAGGAAAACTGGGGCGTGGGCTTCATCAGGCCATCCTCACTTTATGTATGTAACAGGTTATTAACTAACTCAAGGCTAGAAACACAGAGGGAATGTCCTAAGCCTCGTTGAGGAGCTCTCTGCCACAGATCAAGGATCAGGGGACCTTCCCACAGCCATTCCTTTCCAATTTTCAGCAGGGTCGGTATAATGCCACTGACTTATACTTTGTGCCAAACCAAATCTGTATTGGTCGGGTCGTGGCAGTGCCCCTGGGAGTCTGGGCGGGCTCCAGGAATCTGTAGGGAGGATGGTGAAGGGGCATCCCACCAGTGCACCCTGTCTGATCCAAGTCTGTTGCTCTGACTCCCTATCCGGCAGTGATCACTCTGCTCATCATCCTGAGGAGGCGACTCCGGAAGCAAGCACATGCACATAGCAAGAGCGCCCTTGAGATTCACGAGCAGTTGGTTACCTATGATGAGGAGGGTGGCGGCGAGATGGACACCACAAGCTACGACGTGTCCGTGCTCAACTCTGTGCGTGGAGGCGGCACCACCAAGCCCCTGCGGTCCACAATGGATGCCCGGCCAGCAGTGTACTCACAGATGCAGAAGCCACCACGGCTGGGGCCTGAGGCTCACGGTGGGCCCAGTGAGATGGCCACCATGATCGAGGTGAAGAAAGATGAGGCAGACAATGACGGTGGTGGCCCCCCCTACGACACACTGCACATCTATGGCTACGAGGGCTCAGAGTCCATTGCAGAGTCACTCAGTTCCTTGACCACCGATTCCTCCAACTCTGACATCGACTATGACTTTCTCAACGACTGGGGACCCAGGTTCAAGATGCTGGCCGAGCTGTATGGCTCAGATCCCCGGGATGAGCTGATCATCTAGGGTTGCCAGTCTCTGGGCCAAGGGACCCAAAGTCACTGTAGCCTAGATCTGATACACCTGACATCACCTTCCCTGATTTCCAAGGAGTGGCACAGACTCTCCAGCCCAGCACCCCTTGCCTCTGGGTACCAAAGACATTTCTAACCCCAAGGTAGCAAATTCCAGGCCCCTTCAACATCCAGGGACAGATACATATTTTGTTGATGGCCATTCCTAATACTGGGAAAATGAGGCTAGTGTTCTGTCTGGTTTCCCACACTGTCCTGTCCTCCCCCTCCCCCATACACATTTCCAATCTATTCTAGACTTCAGTCCCTTCAAAACTGCCAAGCAAAGTTGCTTATGCTGAACTTTGAGGAGTCTTCCCCAAGGGTCCCTGAACTTGGTGGGCTGTCTGTCTGAAGGAAGAAGACTGGATGGCATGAGCTATGGGACAGGACTCTGAAGCCCAGTCCTGAGGGAGGCTGTAACTAATCCATTATGCCTGCTCTCAAGAGTCCTAGCACTGCTGTGCCCTCCCTCACACCTACCCAGTGCCCAAACACCCCCAGCCCCTCCCCAGGCCTGCTCAGGTAGGAAGGAGACTGTTGGCAGTTCCTGACCTTGGGTCTCAAGGTGATCCGGCAGGCCTGCAACCCCATTAACTGCTTTACTGAGCAATGATCCATTCCGTAAACTTCAGGGAAATGGCTTATTTAATTTGAAGCAACTGTGAATTCACCCAGGAAGGACTGTGGAGACCAAGGGTGACGGGTCATAGAACAGAGGTAGCTACCAACCCACTCACCAGAAGGAGCCTGGAAAAGTTAAGGAGCCCACAGGACATCCAACCCTGCCCAGGTTGCCTGTGTGGAGGCAGTTGCTTGCCTGGTCACTCACACTCCCTTTTCTCTTGCTATCTGCTTGTCTCTTGGAGGCATCCAAGATGCAGCCTCAGCAAGCCTGGCTAATGTCCCAAATCAAACATAACTGCATCACAGAGCCACTATGCCATTTGCCTTTTTCTCTAGTTGCCACATCTCAGGGAATGAGCCCCGGGCACACTTGGCAGAACGCAAGGCCCCTGCCCTTCCCAGGAGCAGTGACATCTCTGCATCTCTCCCTTGGAGGGATTTGAGTAACTTTCCAATGAAGTCACAGTTGGAGGAGGGAGCATCCAAACATCACAAGGTCTGGGCAAGGCAGAAACGTGCCTTCAGCTCATCCTCCATTGTGGACCCCTCCCCCAACAAGGCCTCTCTGCAGGGGATTGTAGATAGCACTGGCGGCTAACCAATAATTAGTTTTTCTTAATTTTTTTTTTTTACTAATAATACTTACAAGTTTCTAGTTCTCACGAACGTAGGTTAAGGGATTTTTTTGCGTAATAAGCAGGTTGCTATTTAGGTTAGCAACTTTAATTGAGGTTTTTTAGTTGGATAAATAATTCCTGTAAGTTTTTATCTCCTGTTGTAGTAATTGCTATAAGGATAATGACTATGTATTAGTCACCCTGGTGCATGAGATGTACTGTACCTTTTTATATCTAAATAAAGACATCTTGAAATCCTTCCACTTCTAGAGCTGAGAGAGCTCATATGAAACACATACTCGTGCATTGTGCAATGTACGCATGGTCACATACACCCACATGCATGCACATATACACCTGCCTCTTCAGAGGAACTCAGAGGCCAAGGGGGCTTGTGAGTCACAAAGAAAGTGAATTATGGGCCTAGATGAGTGGCTCATAGGTTAAATGTGTGTACTACTCTGTTCCCAGAATCCACCTTAGGCAGCTCATAACTACCTATAACTCTAACTCCAGGGCATCAGATGTCCTCTTCTGGCCTTGGAGGACACCTGCACTCAAGTGTGTGTGTGTGTCTGTGCATACATAATCATAAATAAGTCTATTCTTTAGAAAAGAACACTAATTGTGACAGAAAATGAGGGAAATCCAGTTTGGCTTTCTATCATGCAGGGCGCCCTGTGCTCTCTGCATGTCCTACCCACATTCCTCCAAGGCTGCTGCTTGGATGGGGGCAGGGGGCCTCAACTCCATTTGCATTCAGCAAAGAAGCAGGCTCTTTCCTGGCAGATGCACAGCCCTGTGTACATGGGGCATCTGGGTTCTAAAGAATATGCCTACGTTTGTCAAAACACTCTGCAGAAAAGCTTCCTCCCCAACTTTTGAAGGTTTGGTCATCTCCGTGCTAGCTTTGGTCAAGACACTTTTCATGTTAAACACCCACAGCTGGCGGGGACTGTTTCAACAAGCTCGAAAGGAGAAAGGCCGATCTTGAGTTTCTCTAAATCAGGTCAAATGAACAAGGCCCTGCAAGAGAGCTTGTCTGGAGAACCCCCAGATAGCTCAGTAAGTCACCTGGGAACAGGTTTGGAGATGCGCAGCTTCCAGGCTTCTCTTTCCAGTGTTCTCCCAGGGGTGGTGCTCTGGGAAGCAGCTATCCAAGGTGCAGGGAGTCAGAGATAGATCTTGGCCAAGTTACAACACCACAAAGCTCACCATCCTTTTAAAAATTTAGCCTTTTTATTTGTTTTTCTTAACTAGATACCTCCTAGTTGTTGTGAGGTTGGCATTTGCTTCCTGGGTTGCCAGTAATCCCATTGCTTTTGTAAGAGAGGTGATTTGCATTCTGCAGTTCTCATGGATGTCACCTCCTCTGGCTGATAGTGCCTCTGCTCTAAGTCAGTCTCCCATGAGATCTGTCCCTACCTTCTTTTCCAAGAGGTTCTTTCAGCTGGCCAGTGGTGGCACACACCTTTAATCCCAACACTAAGGAGGCAGAGGCAGGCAGACCTCTGTGAGCTCAAGGGCAGCCTGATCTACAAAGTGATTTCCAGAACAGTCAGGGCTACACAGAGAAACACTGCCTGAACAAACAAAGGAGGAAGAGGAGGAGGAGGAGGAGGAGGAGGAGGAGGAGGAGGAGGAGGAGGAGGAGGAGGAGGAGGAGGAGGAGGAGGAGGAGGAGGAGGAGGAGGAGGAGGAGGAGGAGGAGGAGGAGGAGGAGGAGGAGGAGGAGGAGGAGAAGGAGAAGGAGAAGGAGAAGGAGAAGAAGAAGAAGAAGAAGAAGAAGAAGAAGAAGAAGAAGAAGAAGAAGAAGAAGAAGAAGAAGAAGAAGAAGAAGAAGAAGAAGAAGAAGAAATTGTTCTCCCTCAAGTCCCCCTACTCCCTAATTTCCTCTTTCTTGGCCATTCCATCCACCCTCGGTCACAAGTGACCAGACCCCCATGAAGGTCCACTTTGAGGTCCAAGGTTTTAGTGGATGTCATGGTAGGGTACAGACCCAATGCTCTCTGGAATTGTCTGCCTGTTCTGGCGGCCCTGAGCTCCCAGGCTGAGTAGAGAGGAGCAACATCTCAGCCCAGCTACTCTCCAGGACCAGATCATGATAGCCCTGTGACCTTAATTTCACAGAAGTGGAAAGTGAAAATCCAGAGTGCTGTGCCAGAGCCACATAATAAGAGGCAGAGTGGGGGCTAGAACCTGCGTCCTGGCTTCTTTCCTACCTGGGAGATGGAGGCTGTGCCTGGAAGCACCTCTGCTCTGGTCATTGGGAAATCAGTAAATTCCCACTAGGGGGCGCGCTGCATTTACAAATTCTCGGACCTAACCAGTATCCCAACTTCAGCCACCCTAGTGCAGTTGGCAGGCCCAGGGAGTTCTTTCCTTTGACAGAGAAGTTGTATTTAAAAGAAAGTACTCCAAGTCTAGCAGAACAACCTTGACAGGCTATCATCTGGAAAGGCATGGAGCCACTCCCATGCCCTACCTGGAGTTAGAGTATTTGCAGCTTCCAGCAACCCAATGAACTTGAGTTTATGATTATCACAGTGTACCCCATCACCCTTCTCTACCCTGCCACCGCTCCACCATCCTTGGGTAATGTTGTCAGTGTGCCCCCTACCCAACACACACACACACACACACACACACACACACACACACACACACACACACACACTGAGGGTTCCACTGGGGCCAGCAACAGTCAAGTTCTTACATGTCCTCATTCCATGGCTTTGCAGGTCAAAATCCCTCACAAATCCTGCTGTCCTCTGATGACACATAGAACCTCTCCTCTGACTTCCACAACTAAAGTCCCAAGTCCCAAGCCATCCAGCAAATGCCCCTTTCTGAGGATCAGTCCAAGAGCCATGGACCAGGTGTATCTACTTTGATATTAAGTGCAGCACCATTTACAAAGCAAAAACAGAAACAGAGGCAATGTTCAGCACTAAGAGCTTGGTTAGGCAGATTGAGTAAGAGCCTTCAAGCTATGTGAGCAGAGGTTGGTGAGAAGGCTCAGCAGTTAAAAGTACCTGTTGCCAGATAGCCAAAACTATGCTGTACAATAAAGGATCATCTGTAGGCATCATCATCTCTGACTTCAAGTTCTAGTAATGAAAATAGCTTGGAACTGGCATAAAAACAGATAGGTGAACCAATGGAATGGAATCGAAGACCCCCGATATCAACCCACACACCTATGAACACCTAATTTTCTTGGGAGGGTGGGGGTGTTTTGAGACAGGGTTTCTCTGTGGCTTTGGAGGCTGTCCTGGAACTAGCTCTTGTAGACCAGGATGGTCCGCCTGCCTCTACCTCACGAGTGCTGGGACTAAAGGCATGTGCCAACACCACCAGGCAAACACCTAATTTTTTTGACAAAGAAGCTAAAAATATAAAATTGAAAAAAGAAAATATATTCAACAAATGATGCTGGTAACTGGCTGTCAACATGTAGAAGAATGCAAATAGATCCATATCTATCGCAAGTAGAAAACTCAAATCCAAATGAATCAAAGATCTCAATATAAATCCATCTACATTGAACCTCACAGAAGAGAAAGTGGGAAATACATTTAAACACATAGGCACAGGAGACCACTTCCTAAATAGAACACCAGTAGCACAGACTCTGAGAGCAACAATTAATAAATGGGACCTCCTGAAACTTTGCTTCTGTAAAGCAAAGAACACAGTCCAGGCTGGAGAGATGGCTCAGAGGTTAAAAGAACACAGTCAATAAGACAAAATGGCAGTCCACAGAATGGGAAAAGATCTTCACCAACCCCCACATCTGACAGAGGGCTGGTCTCCAAAATATACAAAGAACTCAAGAAACTAGAAATCAAACTACCAAATAATCCAATAAGAATGGGGTACAGATCTAAATAGAGAATTCTCAACGGACAATCTCAAATGGCAGAATGACACTTAAGGAAATGCTTAACATCCTTAGTCATCAGGGAAATGCAAATCAAAACCATTCTGAGATTCCATCTTACTCTGATCAAAACAGCTAAAATCAAAAACATCAATGATAGTTTATGCTGGAGAGGATGTGGAGAAAGATGAACACTCCTCCATTTCTGGTAGGAGTGCAAAGTTGTACAGTCACTGTAGAAATCAGTATGGTGATTTCTCAGAAAATTAGGGACCAACCTACCTCAAAACCCTGCAATACCACTGTTGGGCATATACCTGGAGGAGGCACACTCACACCACAAGGACATTTGCTCAACTATGTTCATAGCAACATTGTTTGTAATAGCCAGATCTTAGAAACAGCCTAGATGCCCCTCAATTGAAGAACGGATAAAGAAAATGAGGTATATTTACACACTGGAGTACTACGAAGCAGTAAGAAACAATGGCATCCTAAAATTTGTAGGCAAATGGGCAGAACTAGAAAAAAATTCTAAGTGAAGTAACCCAAAACCAGAAAGACAAAATAGTATGTACTTACTCGTAAGTGGATACCAGACATAAAGTAAAACATACCCCAGCCTACAATCCACAACTCCGGAGAAGCTAGAACCCTCTTCCAGAAACAGATGGAAGCAGATGCAGAAATCCACAGCCAAGCTCCTGGAGTAAAATTGAAGCAAGGGAAGAGCAAAAATATGAACAAAGGAGTCAAAAATCATGATGGGGAAACCCACAGAATTAGCTGACCCGAGCTAGTGAGAGGTCACTGACTCAGATCTGACAAATGGGGAACCTGCATAAGACCAAACTAGACTCACTTAACATAGGTGACAATGGTGTGTCTGGTACTATATATGAGGCCACTGGCAGTGGGTCCAAGACCTAACACTAATGTACAAACTGACTTAGTGGAGCCCATTCTACATGGAGAGACACCTTGCCCAGTCTAGACACAGGGGTGTGGGGGTGGAGAGGTGCCTTGGTCCTGCCTCAACTAGATGATGGGACAGACTTAGTAGACTTCCTATGAGAGGTCTTACCCTCTCAGTGGAGCAGATGGGAGGATGGGGGAGTAGAGGGCATGGCAGGAAAGAAGGGAGGGGAAACTGGGATTGGAATGTAAAAAATAAATAAAAATAAATAAACAACATGGATACAATCCTCATCCAAAAAAAAAGAAAAAAGAAAAAAGTACCTGTTGCCTTTTCAGAGGACCCAGCTTTGGTTTCCCAGCACCCT